GCTTGAAGCTTCTTTCTCTTGCTGTCTTCTTTCTTTAGCAAGTTTTCTGTTTCTTTTTGCTGTTTTCTCTATCTTCGGGTCGAATTGCAAGGAATCGGTGTCAACGGTACCTCGCATAAACCAGAAAAATAGATTATATAAAATAAGAAAATAAAACTGAATTTAAATAACAGAAAATTAAATAACAGAAAATAAGGTCCAATCTAAAGAATTAATAGCTACTATTAATGTTGAAATAGTAATCCCCGGCAACGGCGCCAAAAACTTGTTGCTACTCACGGCAAGTGCACCGATCGTACAAGTAATATACTGATTAAGTAAGAGATCGTTCCCACGAGGATTACGGTTCAAGCACCAATTCACTATCGCAACTTAAGTTGGACAATCAAAGTTGTATTCGGAAACAGGATTTGGATTGTAAAATTGAAGTTATTAAATATCAAAGCTAACTACTCGCAAGAATTAAAAACGTGAAATTAAAGATGTGATTTAACTAATAAAATAAAAACGTAGCTAGGGGTTCGATTTCCTTTAATCTCCTTATTATGATTCGAAGTCCTTCTTTACGTTAACCGTCCTTAATATCGATCTAACCAATTCTTTCGCGTTTATTAGAGCTCAATCCCTTGTTACCCTAAAATCTTTACAAACTTGAAAGAACCCTAGTTCCCCGGTTATTCCCCAAGAATGCAAGCATTAAGTTCAAGAATCTTAAGGTTACGCAAATTCTATGTCTATCCCTAGAATCATAGCGTTTACGATGAAGTTATCAGAGATGGATCACACACCAACATCCCTATTGTCATGCATTTACCGATGATCATTATATAAGATTCAAGCCTATATAAAGCATTAAAAACAGATAACTTCATTCATGATAAAAAGGAAAACTAACGTACGAATTATTCAAAGCATAATAAATCGACTAAAATCCATCTAACCCTAACTACTTAAAGAACTAGCCGGACATGGCAAAATCAAGAACAAAAGAAATTAGAAAAGCTCCCCCAAACTCCATAAGTGATTGGTGGATCTTCAATATCTCCAGTGAACACTTGACGTTGATCCGTCTCCGCCGCTCACGAACATGAATCTGATGTTTCTCCGCGTTCCTTCAGCCTTCGAGCACCCAAGAGTTGTTTAGCAACGTAAAAGTTATGTATTTCTGGTCCCCAATGGTGTTTTTATTGGCCAAGAGTTTGTATCCTAGTAGAAAACTCGAATGGGCCTAAGTTGGATCTGTCTGGGCGCTTAAGCCTGTTGTAGCGCGCTTAAGCGCCCTAGGACAGTGAATTCTGATTCGCGTTGCGCGCTGAAGCGCTCTGAAGGGCGCTTAAGCGCGCTCCTCGCGACAACTTTTTCTTCTTGTGGCGCGCTTAAGCCCTGAGTTGAGGGCTTAAGCGCCCAGAGGCAGTAGCTATTTGCGTTTTTAGGGAGCTTAAGCTTCTGAATGGGGGCTTAAGCTCCCACTTCTAACAACTTGATAAGATCTTCAATCTTATTGTTTTTGATCTTCTTCTATCATCTCTTGATCTCATCTTTTCTAGTTGTGATCTCTATTTATCCAATCTTCATCTTTGACTCCTTTTGTCAACAAATCCCTAAAAAATAGCAAAGATGATTCCATTAAACAAAAATTCAGATAATGTTCATGATTATTATATTAAACCCTAGTTTTTGACTTATTTAACTTGATATTTTATATTAATTTAGTCTATAAAATAAGATAAACTAAAGGTTTATCAATATATATGTATGTATGTATAGGCAAAATATTTTGTAACGTGACTACATATAAGTATTGGTGCAGTGATTTTCAAAACTACATCGTTTTGAATTAATGAAGGGTTTTAACTTTGTTTATTTTTTTATCATATGAAGGGTAAAGTATTTCTCCAATCACTGGAGATAAGTTATCTCCAGTGATCCCAAAACTACGTCGTTTTGAATTAATGAAGGATTTTAACTTTGTTTATTTCTTTTATCATATGGCCCTTCATTAATTCAAAGCGACGTATCTTTGGGGGTCACTAGAGATAACTTATCTCTCGTAACCGGAGAAATACTTTATCCATATATAAAATTGGGTTTGTTTTTTTGCAATAAGGGCCAATTTAGTGTGATGTATAAGGTCTGATAGTATAAGTTTCTATTTACATTATGACATTTTTAGTTGTTGGTTGATTATTGCATAGTATAAGTTTAAACAGCAGAAACCCTTAATGCATCTAAATGATGTATAAATTAATCAGGCCTAAGGGGTGGGATTAGGCCTGATAAGATATTGATGTATTAATATTGCTGACCAGTGCAATTTCCAAGAATTAATATATTATTTCATTATTAATATATTAAAATAAAAATTAATTTTTTAATATATTACTTTTTAAAATATTAGAAAATTTTTATTATAAAAATTAATATATATTTTTGGATACACTGAATAATAGATTTTTATAAAAATTAATATCATATCATATATTTGGAAGAATTATATAAATTCTTTTTTAAAGGGTATTTTGGTTAAAAATATTTATTTTTATCTTATCTAGTATTATACAGTGCATTATTAAACACTAGATGATATTATATTATACAATACAATGCTAAAAGCTGGATAATATTAAAATTTACCCAAATCTTATCATGTTCTGTGCACCAAACAATGTTTGAATTAGGGATGTTCGCGGTCTGGATTGGATCGATTTTGGAAGCAAAAATCATCCGATCCAATCCTTTCGGTTTGATCATATAATCATCCATTCGGTTTGGATTTTTTTTCAAATCCGATCCGATCCAATCCAATTTTTTTTCGATTTTTTAAAAATCCTAAAATTTATATCTTGATTATTGTGCAAATTACATCTTTGTATATATTGGCTTTGTAATTTTATTTTATTTTGAAATACAAATGCATTAGTAAACTATAATTTTTTTTTTTTTTGGCAATGAGATATGAAGGTTTACAAAGATAAAATTTTATTGATGAGATGTGACTAGATTTTTTCTTAGGTTTAGTTGATGGATTAATGGGTCTTGGGTTTAGAAATTTTTGGGCTATAATTAGGGAAAAACCCAAGTAGGTAGAGGGGAATTAATATATTGGATCGGTTTTTGGATGGGTTGATGAACACCCCTAGTTTGAATGTAGATAAGCTATCTATATTGAGTCCAAAACGATGTCGTTTTGGGACGAAAATTAAGGTTGTTTTGTAATTATAATTTATTTCAATGTTATAATAGTCTTTATAATTTTTTAATCTTTCAACTCAAAACGATGTCGTTTTGAGAGTGAATATGCATAATTTATCTATATTCACTATAGAAATATTAAACCCTATAAAATTATCAAACCAACATGTATAAACAGAAAATATCCATGTAATTAAACTCTCATTAATTATGTGCAGAATTCAGAAAAAGGTTGGATAGACATATAAAAATATATTTTTGGAAAATTAAACTATTATAGGATACTATATGTTATTTTTATCTAGATAGTCTTTAGATAATTTATGAATTTATTATCAAGTAATTAAATCTTCATATGAATCAATAAAATTATTTGTTTTTTCAACCATGAAATCATTTATGATTTGTAAGACGTAATCTTGTGTCAAATTCCCGTGCAAACGTAAGCTTGTCCTTTATTACTTATCGCTCGCTACGATGACCAATCCCTATCACAAATAAGAGCGTAATTACTATCACCATTAAGAAAAACTTTTGAAAAAGACATGGCAAAAGTGGGTCTTGTTACACTTATTTCAATCTTTCATTGCACACTGCACGAACTGTATGGCAAAAGTGGGAAACAGTTACGAATTTAAGTGTGAGTAAATTGTATTCCACGTTAAGAAGAATTTTAAAAAATAAATATGGAAAAGGTTATAATTTTATAGTTACTATTTTTTTTTATTATCTCTTACTATTAAATTTTAACAGTTGATTTCTGTCAATTTAACGTTTGTAATTTATTGGATCACACTTATTAATTAATTATTAATTTTCAATAAATTATAACCGTTAAATTGACAAAAATTGACGGTTAAGATTTGGTAGTAAGAAAAAAAGGTAATAAATATAACCTCCCCGAATAAATATTGTATAAGTAGAAAGATTTATGAATTTATGTCTTAAAACTTAATTTAACATATTATATAAGAATCCATATTTCTTAATTAGTCAATAACTCTATTAACACTTGAGGTGTGTGCGCTTTATGGGGGAAATAATGTAAGAGTATAAATTTCATCAATAAATACATTAGCACACATTTATTTTTTGTGCCAAGAATACAAACTCATTCATCCAATCATGTATGAGATCATTAAGGAAAATATTTGTTACACATCAGTTTGTTGTCTCAAATTTCTACAAGGTGGTGTAATGCAAATGGAGAAGTGTAAAAACTTTGGTGTCACCAGTTACAATTAAGCGTTGATTCTATTTTCAGCTTATCTAGTATTTTCTACTATAACAAACACTTACGAAGTATTTTATTATATTTTGTGTAAGCTTATAAAATAACTCTTGAAATTTCCATAAAACGGTTCTGGAGCTATTTTCATAATTTGAGAATTGAACTTTAAAAAATATATAGCTCTTGGAATCTCCATAAAACTGTTTTGGAGCTATTTTCATAATTCAAGAATCGAACTTTAAAAAATAAAAATGAAATATCTTAGTCAGTACATTAAGTAGATCATGAGAAGAACATTATTGACACTGCTTATTCATGCACTATCGAGTGCACTGTGTCCAAATCACAAATAACAACATATTCGGCTCCTGAAAACAAATTAAAGTCTATTTCCCAGTAACTCCCAAAATCAAATCATATACTACTAAGGTACTACTGCCTTGTAAAGGAATTGACCTCCACTTCAACTTCATCATACAGATATCACAATTATCCACTGTTTCAACATGCATTACGATTACAAGAATCATGCACGAGTTTCAGAACCAAAAAAACTATTTGATGTAAGTTAAGAGCCACCACTTGTTGGCAGTGTTAGGTAATTCATGCATGCATTTTACATTGCTTTTGAAAGCAGTAACTTAAAACAAACAAACCCCATTTCTATTGGCAAATCAGGGATTAATTGCGCCTGAATACAATGACAATTGCAGTGCAGTTATCTTTACATCGACGCTCACGAACAGCTTCTCTTACAAGACGGCGGCTCACGACCGCAACGGGTAGTCCCTCCTACAAAATGTTCAATTCAATTTTGTTCTCATGTACGAAAATATCCTCAAAAAATAGAAAAACATTACAAATGAAAAGAAAATTCTGAAAAAAGAAAAAGCTTTGTGAGCCTAAATGTGTGTCACTACATTTAAATCCTTCACTGAATGGAAAATCATATTAAGGTACTCTGCCAAACTTATTGATCAAACTTAACTAGATAGGTACCACTTTAGACATGGATGTTGATTTCATCGACATTTTTCTACCAGCTTATAATAGCAATAGCAACTCATTTAATTTGATAATTATGAGCAATCCTAACGTCTATGAGTACAGCAAATTACAAGTGCAGAAGTTGTCAAGAAGTCCACTGTTTACAATTTAACCAGTGATTCAAGAAAGTAAGACCTCCCCCACCCCTCCCTTTCAGATTTTGTAGGGAGACGGGGGTAATTTGTTAAACCAAAACAGCTCTATAGTAAGAATAAAGCAATGCATTTAAGTGGGACCAAAAATGCATTGGAATAATTCAAGAGGTTAAAATGTACACTTCTTATTAGTTCAAGTTGCAAGAACGAAAAAGACAGAAACAAGCTCATACATTCAATAACTTCTGAACAAAATCAACAGCATCACTGGGACCAAATACCTGACACAAACCGGAAATGCCATTTTCATATCAGAACAGTAAATTCAAACCAGCAAAACAAGTACTGGGACATCTATGGATACAAAAAGACTTACCCCCCACAAACCATCACAGCCAAGAATGATGAAATGCTCTCTATCTGTCAGGTCAAAAGAATGGATATCTGGGGTTGCAATAAAACCCACCTGCAAATGGTTTTTTTCCTCAAGGTTACTAAAATTTCTAGGCCTGCAAATGCTCCTTTTAGGCCTAGCTGATGTTATAGAGAATTTTATTTGGCTAACTGACAAAAAGAACAAGTAATCTTTTCCAAGAGTGAGAGGCAAACCTTTTTGAACTGGCGATCTCCAAAACCCCTAGAAACTTCTAGACGCCCTTGTAATCGTCCATTTGAGCTCACAACACCACCAGCCTGCAAGTAGAAAATATCAGATCAGAGAACTAATAGCGGAGACTCCTGCAGCACATATCTAAAAGGACAAGTTCGTTCTCCAATCATTAACTATAAAATGAAATGCATCACAAAGAATGAATTCTTCAATCACTTCAAGCGGTTCTTCAAAACACAGTTCCAAAACAAGCATGCATATATATATATATATATATATATATATATATATATATATATAAACTAAGCTCTCTGTGACAATTATCAGCAATAGATCAAGCTTGGGTTATTAGTAATTCATTTTTAAGCTAGCTTCAACTTGGCACCTTACTACATGAACTGGTTCTTGTAGCTCCCGAGTTATTCAAGCTGTTGGGAACATAAAAGTGATGGTTCAATCAAAGTGATGGCAGGGAGTCAAGCTCTTATTTGTTAATTGTTAGCTGTATGCTCTGGCAATTATCAGGTAACAGGTTTTGCTAAATAATCATGGTGATGCAATCAATCATCATTGAGGCATTTCAAACCTTCTGAATACGTGCACGCTCCTGCGGGAAGATAGGTTTGTGTTCTCTCGTCAAAACAATGGCCTTTAGTGCAGGGACTCCATCTGAGTGATCTTGGAATCCATCAGTTATAGTTGACCGAGCTAAAACTGCTTTGGCATCTCCTACATTTGCCACAAAAACCTAACAAAAAGTCATCAAACATAAAAAGCCAAAAAGTTATCACCAACTTGATAGAATACTGATACCAACCAAGATCATAATTCATCAAAAGAATAAGATATGACGAATCATGAGCAGCACATTTTCTATCCCAATTTTGTTGCAAGATTGCTCAACAAAATATCCATACTTATAATACCTATAATGTTTACCTGCAGCTAGCATAAGGTCCAACTAAGACGTGATTTACGTAGCATCAGAAAGAAATTGCATAAATTACTTGTATAGCAAACAGAATCTGAATAGTGGCAAACATACTTTTTGTCCCAATACCCAAACACATACGGCTGTAGCACCATCCTGCCATCCCCCTGGAAACAGTAAATAGACCTCAGCAAGACATAAATAACCTCTAAAATTATTAGTCATAAACTTGTATTAAGATCTGTATTACTAAAATCAGTATAAAGAAATGGGCAAATGACTTGTAGCATATTGTGCTATATTGTGCAGAAAAAGAAGATAAATTATATTGGACTTGAAACCAGTAAAGTATGAATGAAATGGAAGTAAAAACTTGATTCATCCACTTATAACAACAAAGTTTAAACTCAATTGAACCATTTTTATAACAGAAGATCAACAAATTTAAAGCATTCAAATTGTACCTTCAGCACTTTCTTGAAGAAGAGCCTCATCAGTTTTACGAAAACCTATATCAGAATAAAAACATCAAATGAAAACTTTGTATAACCAAAAACATATTACAAGAATAGAAGTATTCCTCACAAGTTTCCATTTGGAAACATACAAAAGGGAGTCAATAGGGAAAAGACAAACTGAATGCTTACCGTCAAGTATAGATTTTTTAGCTGCCTTTACATCCAACTGAAACACAGCACAGAAGAGGAAAGATAAGAAGGAAAATATATAAAATAGAATACAAGAGAGAGGTGAGATGAGATGGATAAAAGTATATTGCGAAGAAAATTATTTATATTCCTACAGCAGAACGTTGCATTTTTCATATGATGAGGTTATCATCTTCTTATCTAGAAAATGAGCTTTTGGATTTTTTTTCTCAACAGTTTTATTAAGACTCAATGCATCAATTCAATTGTAGGAATCTTTATACTAATTGACCATACAGGCAATACTCAGAACCTACCTACCATATCCTATCCACTCATTTTTCTGAAGGAAAAGATTATTTAGAATCGAGGCATATTGTCCTAAGGTTCAACGGCTTTCATGTTAACAAAACCCGGTAGAATAATAATATCAAAAAGCACATATGTGCTGACAATAAGTAGTCACTCACTCAATTATATAACATTTGTTTATGTCTTATTGCAAGGTGCCTCAATCAACCAAAATGGATGCACAATGCACAGCTCTTCTTAATTGGTTCTTAAAATATGACCTCACAAGTCAACAGAGGACAACCAAACATTAAAACAACATAAAAACCAAGCACTTGTTGTAAGAGCCTAATTGATCAAGTAGGCGTGAAATTAGACCAAGCAAACACACCAACTCACGTGGTAATCCTGCTGAAAGGACATTCCCATGCAAATGCTTTTGCGCATATTCTGCAGCTAACCTGCCTCCGTGTCCATCATAAATTGCAAAATGTGCACACCTGAAAACCAAGCACTCAGAGTTACCAAGAAATACACTCCATAATAATTCCAAAAGCCCACACCACCATTAAATAAAATGTTCAAATGTGATTTCAATAAAATAAATTGCCTAGGGAAGAGCAACATAAATAACAATGAAGTAAAATAACATTGCAAAAAAATCATTGACAGTCTGATACCACCAAGAAATAATTTTGATACATATCCATGAATTTCCCTCATTGTAATACACCATAACCATATGTTAACAAATATAATAGTAAGAAATTGGGCTATGGAAATTTTCAAAAATTAACAAAAATTAATAATAAATCATTATATTTTTTATTTTATTTTTTTAAGAAACCACCCAATAATCAAAAACCTCAAATTTCCAGGGTAATCTAGACTTGCATCCAGAAGCACCACACATGCATCTTCCATGGTATGCCTAGAACCCTTATCCTCAGCAGCATCAGCTTCAATGTGGAAAGTTACTACCTTTACAGCATTTTCATCCAAACCAACTTCAGAAGATTCGGTCCTCGACTTCTTCGACGCAACAAGATCCTCCTTGATTTCTGAATCAGCTTCACGCTTGTGGGTCTCTGAGCTTTCGTTCATTTTCTTCTACAATGATTGGGGAAATGTTTGAAACCCTAGAAATCAAGTCCTCTTTTCTATGACCTAATACTAATAATAAATAAATATATAATAATTGTTATATTATATTACTCATGCATAGATCAATAACTGACGCAGCAGCATCACGCGACCCTCACGAACCACACGATAATAATTTGCACACTATTGACACGTGATTGCTATCACGTGACAAGCTTTTGGTGAATTATATATGTAACTATTATTTAATTATATTTTATCATATATTGTCATAATTTTATATAAAAAACCATTTCAACATAAATAAACTTGTAAGCTTAAATTTTTTAATAATTTTATATTATATCTCTATAATACACTATCACATAAAAAATCTTTTAGGTTTGAAGCGTAATATTATATGGGTCATTTTTTAATTCTACGACTTAATTTCATTAAAAAGTAAAGGTGATGATTATTGAACTTGTGATCAGTTCTTTCTTTCTCTCTTCTTATCTTATATATAATTCCCTAGAAGGTTGTAATTTTTAAAAAAAATTATTTATCATTTTAAAAGACATAATTTTGTATCATTTAAGTTGAAACGCGATTGTTTTGATATATATATTTGTTGATTTTTATATTCTCTTATTTTTACAATACTCTTTCTCCTCCACAATATCCCAATTATATTGGTTTATTTAAACATGAATTATAAATTTTAGATATAATATTCTACTTTTCTTATTTTTTGTCTACCTTATATGCTCTCTTTTTTAGTATAACTTGGAGGTATCCTCATTTAATTTCTTCCGATCACCTTACTCTCGGGATATATACTCATTTTTAATATTATTCGATTATAACCTCATTCTTTCTTTATACTCTTGAAAATTTTATCTAGTTTGAAATAAATTTTAGAAGATTAAATTTTGAGAACATTGTCAAGTAAAACTGTTTGTTACTTCCTAGGTATCCGATTTAATTGGGCGCGTAACATTGACGAGATCGAAAAGTGTTGATAGTAAAAAAGAAACGATGTAAAAAATTCCCAAATAATATATTTATAAAACCAAAAGAACGTTGCTCTCGACTTGGCCAACACTAAACCCTAATTTCTTAAAATCTGCAACTCCAATTTCGTTTAACCTCATAAACCCTAATTTCGTAATTTCCCTTCGATTTTTCCATCTTCGTGCTTGATCCACGATGCCATGAAGGGAGGTTGATTCAATTCTTCCAATCCGCGGTTCCGAAAATGTCGCTCCACCGGGACTCGCCGTCGCCGGGGAACGGCGGAAACTCGACTGCGTCGAGCCAGAGGCTGCGGCTGAACCCTAACAAGGAGCACAAGCCAGATGGTTACGAGGACCTGCAATTGGATTTCAGCCCAAACATTTTCAGCTCGCTGGAGAGGTACCTTCCTCCGAACATGCTCACCGTGCCTCGCCACGACAAGGCCACGTTCATGCGCGAGATTTTGCTCAAGTATCTGCCCCTCGGAGAGCGAAATAGAGTGTGTTTTGATTTTTACCCTAAAATGTTGTTCCACTCTAGATGCTATGTTTTAATTTAAATTTTAAGTTTTTCTCCTATTTTTTCTTCGTGGTTTGTTTGTTTGCTTGGAAATCGGAAGAAATGAAGTTAAATGAGGAGAAAGATTGAATTTTTATTTTTATTTTTTGGGTGAATTGTGTAACTTGGGTCTCAAGGTAGCTCAATAGCACAAGTTGAAGGTTGTTTTTAGTTTGTGTAACAGTTGGGTTTTTACTTGGGTGAGTGATTTCATTTGACTGTGAAATTACATATTTACCCCTGTTGCAAGTGTGTCTTGTTAGAGACGTGGCCTTGTTCAAAACTATATCCTTGATAACATGTCGTAATAATGGAGGTCTAGCATTAGTTTTGTAAAAGCTAACAGAATAACTTATAAATCATGAAATTGGTGTGATAGCAAAGTGAAGGCTTTCAAAAAGTAAATCATAATCCGTAAATCTTTTAATTACTTTGAAGATAGTTTTCGTATTTAATTTTGGTAATGAAGCTGGTGAGTTGAAATAAGAAGTTTTGGAATGGAATTGTAACTTGCTGATTATTTAAAGTATTGGTTTCAGTTCAGATTCTGTATCTTGTCTAAAATATTGTTGGTTTTCTAGGTTTGGAGATCTAATTCTTATTCTCATGTAGTAGTAATAATTTGAGATAGGAAGCTTCAGGGATTAAATATTTGTGCTATTCTTCAGTGGCATTTTGGTATGTCTTGAGGTGTTCGGTGGGTTGCTATTTTTGCCCCTATAAAACCAACTTCATAGTGTGTGTGGCATATAGCCTAATGGTATTCCATGTCTGGTTATCGTGCTGGACATGGGTCCCAAGTTTCCAATGTTGGGGAAGAAATCAATGTTTGAAGTACACTTTTAAGGTAGAGAAAAATAAAATAAAATAATGAAAATTGTGAGGTTAGGATCATGGGGAGGAAGAGCAACTCATACTGAGAATTGGAAGTTTTAATAGCATTTTCATGTTTTAGTGGTATAGTGAAGTTCCTTTCAATATGCTTATGAATGAGTAGGTTGAAGTGCCTTTGAAAATTTTCCATTTATGCTAATGAATTGTGAAAAAATTGCTTGATCATTACCATCATCATCATTTTTACCACACTTTTATGATTATTATTTGTAGTATTTTACCACATAATTTTATGACGGTTCCAATGTTATTTGGCAGGCTCAAAAGCATAGAGAATACAGACAGAAGATAATATCAAATTATCAGGTATGTAGTACAAATATTGATTTGTTTGACTTCGAAATTGATGTTGGACCTGAAAGAATGATTTCAGCAAGACAGTGGGCAGAAGAGAGAAAGAATATCTCATAAAGTAAATTCTTAAATAAAAAAAAGGTATAATGAACTATAACAGCTTAATCTAATGATGAATCCTCCTTCCTGATATAGACAACCTTTAATATGGCAAAATCTTGAATATTTGAATCAAAGTAAAATCCTCCATCTTCTATTATTTGTCTAGGCATAACATGGGGTCAAATTTTGCTCTTTCTCTGTACTTTTTATATAATATGCATTCTCTTTGAAGGTAAAGTATTTCTATCAAAAAGAAAATAGAAAATGACCACCAAGCATGTGGATCAACTGGTAAAGGGTTGTTCCAGCCTTACCAGTGGTCTTGAATTTGTGTCCTGAGTATGCAACTTTGTTAAAAACTTAGTAGGGAGAGCTTTTCCGCCCTTGTGGTCCTGCCAGGCTCAACCGGAATGGTCGATTAATGGATGAATTGGTGGAGAAATCTCTAAAAAAATGAAAATAGAAAATTTCTGCATGTGAATGGTCTAATGAAAACAAGAACTGGTCCCTGGTGTTATGCCACTCCTTCAATGAGACAAAGGTTTACTGCAGTTTGAATAATATATGGAAATCGGTTAATTATTACTTTTGGAGATCTATTTGAACTGGTGCCAAAACAGAAATAATAATAATAAATAAATAAGAAATTCTCCATCATTTGTGAAGCTGCTGTGACAAAGAAGCTCAACATACATTTAAAGGATAAAGAATCATGAAAATTTGTGTTTGGATTTCAGATGTGTTTAATTATGATGATAATCTTCCCCATGTCTCCTCCTCCTCCTTTTTGTTGTTCTTTTTTAGCAAGTTTTACAGATTTTCTAACACAATTTTGCAGCCTCTACATCGTGAGTTGTACGCTATGAACCCTACTACTTTCTTTGTCCCAGCATTTCTGAAAGCAATTAATGACAGTACAGAGCAAAGCTTTAGAAGTATCATGTCGGAGCCCTCTCCAGGCATTTTTATATTTGAAATGTTTCAGCCACGCTTTTGTGAATTGTTGCTATCAGAGGTACTTAATCATTTTAACTATCCTTACCTGTGCCATAAGCAGTATCTCATCTTTTAAATGTACATGTGCATATATGTTTTGTATGTGTTAAAATTTATTTTTGGTCTCCCTAGATTGAAAATTTTGAGAAGTGGGTGACTGAAACAAAATTTCGGATCATGCGTCCCAATACAATGAATAAATATGGTGCTGTACTTGATGACTTTGGCCTCGAAACAATGCTTGACAAACTCATGGAAGGTTATATTCGTCCTTTATCTAGAGGTGAATGAAGACTGTAATTAGCATTAGCTTATGGTGATTTGACCAAATGTATTTATTCTCTAGAAGCAATTAGCCAGCTTCTTTTTTTTCTAGTTCTCTTCTGACGTATTTAGTTGATTAATTGTTTGCCATACAGTATTCTTTGCCGAAGTTGGGGGATCAAACCTGGATTCTCATCATGGATTTGTTGTTGAATATGGTAAAGAGAGAGATGTTGACTTGGGTACGACTTCTGCTTGATAACTGTTTGTTTTATCATTCCATAGGTCATGTGCTTAATATTAGAAGTGTACGGAAGAAGGCTAATTTCTTAATATGTGAACCATACAACATTGTGTTATTATTGCTATGCTGCCTTTGGTTAATAATTTTTTTTTTAACTTAATACTTCTTTTGAAGTTTCAAATTCAAACTAAGCTTCGATAGAGGCCATAAAAGCTTTATTAATCGTAACAGATATTTTGATGATGTCTGTTTCCTATACTAGTTAATACATCTACGTTCCTTATGTTAATATGTCTGATGTTTTTCAATTAAGAGTCTTACATTTGTAGGTTTCCATGTGGATGACTCGGAAGTAACCTTGAATGTTTGCTTGGGTAAGCAATTTTCTGGAGGGGAATTGTTTTTTCGGGGCACACGATGTGAGAAACATGTAAATACTGGAAGTCATTCAGAGGTAAGTCATAGAGATGGAATGGCATAAAATTATATTGGTATTTAGGAAGATTTAATGCTTGATATTTTCTTTTTCACTGTAAGTATATGTTGTTCTACCCTCAATAAAGAGGCAACGGCTCATCCTCAATCAGCAAAAAGTACTGAGGTAGGTCTCAGTGCCTTAGGTGTGATTTTTGGCACCTTTGACTACACTGGCTATATATCTATTTTAAAATATATAGGCTAGCTACTAATATATTTATTGGTCTAAATACAGTCATATATGATTAAGAAAAAAATCATCTGATTTTTTTGGGAGACTGTATATTGAGCATGATGAAGTGTGGGCTTGTTTTAGTTAAAACCTTGGACTTTCGAATAACTTGTGAAGTAAAAAAAAGAATGCTCTTGATGTGTGTTTTACAAGTTTGACTGAGAATTGGTGTTTCCGTATTCCTTTCTGTTTTTAATTATAGCCTTAGCTGGCAAAAGTTTGTTTTGATAGTGAAAGCAAAACCAAATGATGCAATTATTCATTTGGTTCATATTCTGTTCCAATGAAGTTATTTAGTATTTCAGTTTACTATTTTAAGGAGATTTATGGACCATTCTTCTTGCTATTTCTCATAGGTGGTTGTACACTTTTTTAATGGAGTACATTATTTGAAAGCAGGAGATCTTTGACTATTCCCATGTATCTGGACGAGCTGTGCTTCATCGTGGTCGTCATCGCCATGGTGCTAGAGCTACAACATCTGGTCATCGGGTCAACCTACTTCTTTGGTGCAGAAGGTGATTTCACTTGTTGCTTGCCTTCATTGCTACTTTAGTTTGTCTGATGAGTTTGTGAGAGTTGTGTCCCTTATATTAAATTACACTGACCCACTAGTTTCAGGAATCACACCCTTGTCGTTAAAATTTGCGATAATGTATGGTATCCAAGTTTTCCTGCTTTATTTATTAAAGAATTTTCCTAAACTATGTGTGTTGGAATAGTGGCAGAAATCTCATATTCTGATTGCATAATTGCAGCATCAAGCTGGAATGCTATTTTCCACTTAAGTTTTTTTACCCTCACTTTTTACTACTACAATGGATTAATTAATTTAAAGATATATTCTCTGTTCAATTTCCCCCCAGCAAATTAAAGATGAGGTTTGCATTATTTCATTGTAGTTCTGTCTTTAGAGAGATGAAACGATATCAAAAAGATTTCTCCAGCTGGTGTGGTGAGTGCAATCGTGAAAAAAAGGAAAGGCAGCGCTCCTCAATTGCTTCTACCAGATTGGTAAATCTGTATCTTATCTGAATTCCTCATGCCCGTGCATTACATTCTAGGATGTTGTTATAAGTTTTATGTTTAACACATTTATTTTAAGGGTTTAGTATTTCTCATATTGTATGAGATAAATTTATTTTCTACACACATATAAAAGTGGGTGGGCATGTTTTCTATTTCTCTCTCTTCTCCTCATATAGGCCCACTTTTATGTGTATGTAAGAAACAAATTTATCTCTTATAACATGAGAAATATTGAACCCTTATTTTAATTACTTGGCTTTCAACCTTGTTATCATAATAAAGAGTGTTGGCCAATTGCTGCAAACCTGCTACCAAAGAATATTCCTTTGGCTTTATTTGAAGTACTGAGGCACTGTGTAAAAAATGTGTTAAAATGTACAAGTAAAAGAGAAATTGAATAAGAATTCATACTAAGGGTCCACGGAAGGGTTAGATATATTGTGTGGTTCTATGGTAGACAATGTTACCTGCATTTATAAGAGGCTGATTACATGAATCAAACTATGAATGGATGGGCATTGTTTAACGTCTGGGGTACTGTATGTTTAGAAATGCATGACCGAGGCTGCAGAATATAACTATGTGATTTTATGGTATGCAGGAATTGTTCAGGAGAGAAGGTGAATCCACTGCATAATCTATTTTGCTCAGTGGATGGTTGTAAAATAATGTAGCTGCAATAGTTTATCAAGACAATGAGCCTATGATTTCTTATCCAGGTGTCTGTACAAGTTATATGATGTATTAGGATAGTTTTCTTTAAATAAACTTGGATTTTTCCTCTATAATGTATTACGGTTTATCTGATGCCTATATAATGTCTTTCAGGTAATATGTAGACCGGTTTAATCATTGACCATTGTTATGTTTTAGATGCATAAAACCACAATATCATGGCCAGAAGTATAAATTTAGACTGTAATTAATTTCTGCTGAAGTTTTTGAGGTTCACTGGCTATTGCAATATCTAGATTCCTTTTTACTATGTAACTATTATCACATTTCACAAAAATATTTTCAAAAATATTTTTAGTGTTCCTAGTGCAGTGAGTACTCGGTACTTATTAAATATGGCAAAAAAGAATATTTTTATACTACCTTTATCTTTTCAGTTATTTTCATTCAAATCCCATGTTTTTCCTCTTTTTGCAAAGGAGCATGAACTCCTGCTGTATGCAAAATGAGCTCTCCTTTCACTGCTTATGTCAAAGAGGAATAATAATGTACATCAATGAGTTAGTGGAACTGTATAGGATTAACGTGTCGTGGGGTCTGCTGGAAATGAAGTGGAAATTTCTTAAACAAATGGAAGAATATCTTATAATTGCACTACCATTGATCACTCAATATCTGTAAACATGAAACATTTAATTTGATTGTTTTGTTATTTATGTTACTATTGTCCGGAATGCTTGTTTTATTTGACTGTTTGTGACTCAAAGCAGAGCAGCAGAGCCAGGGAAGATTATAATTCTATTTTAAGTGAAAGTATTAATATTATGGTCAATTTTTATTCTAAATATAATTAAAATCCCATCAAGTAATCTCAAGGTATCTTTATAATTGCTACTGAGTGATTGACCCAGCGCCAGCGTACAAATGCATATTTATTTATATTTAATTTCCCATGTTTTTAATTGATAATTTGACATCCATAGCGAAAATATTTTCAGTGACTAAATCTTTGGTATATGTTTTACCAAATACAGAAAAAAAAAAATAACTCATTTATTTTAGAGTAAGGTTATATTTATAATATTTTTTTTCTTACAATTACTTTATGTTTGTTATCAAAATCAAATTAATGGTTATAAAATAATATTAAATGAGAATTGTTGCTTTGATTTTGATCTAACAAAAGTGATTGTAAGAGAAAAAAAGTTATAAATATAATCTCTCTTTTCATTTTATCGATATCTTTATATTATTTTCTTCGTATTTATTTTTTCCTTTTGGATAAGATTGTATTTACTCCTTTGCACAAAAAATAGTTCTCCTCGGCAGCTAGTACAGACAACCAAGATAGTGGTAGATTCGTGTTTGGTGGCATCTGTAATGTTGTTGTCGGGTCATTTCTTCCCTCTCTTCTTCCTCTTCTTCTCCACTTATCTATTGAGTAAATGTTCACTGTTAAGAGCCTGTTTATCCTCTTATTTTTAAGCTAGAAGCTACTTATAAGCTAAAGCTAAAAAAAAGAGCTTAAAAAAAGAAGCTAAAAGCTGTTTGGAAATTACATAAAAGTTTTAGCTTAAAAATTATTTAAAAGCACATATTTCAAGAAATTATCTCTCTCTCTATCTTCATCACTCTTCATTTAAAAAAAACACACAATTCAAGAAAAACATATAAGAGCTTAAAAAAAAGCTCATCCTATGAGCTTTTAGTTTTCAGCTTTTTTCTTCATTATAAAAAAAGAGCTTTTCGTTATAAGAGCTTTTCCCAAAACTTGTTTGGCCTAAATTTTGCTTATAAGTAGCTTCTAACTTAAAAAAAAGAGGATCCAAACAGGCACTAAGTATTAGTATATACTCCTTTATTAAAATTAAATATGACAAGAGTCACATGGTACTAAAAATAATGAATAAACAGAGTAAAATTAAATTCAGCTAGGTTGGCTGAGTCATGTTAAATGATTGTAAATCCAGAAAATTTATCGGTAGCAAATTACCACCATTACAATTTCACACCACCCCCTCCCCCACCAAACATTCTCTTACACTTCCATGTGTCCTGTCCTTTTATTTTAATTTGTTATCTTTCTTTAATTTCCTCATTTTGTCAAGTATAAATGTTTTTTAATTAATACCACATTCAATTCCACCTTACTTACCTCTAACGCAGTCTTTTTTTATAACAATTATCCCACATTTCTTTATTATCATTTTTTTTTCCTTTTTATATAGGCAGGTATAAAGTATAAAGGTAAGGTTAGATGACTTTTTTTTTTGGTACAAAGGTTAGATGACTTAGCAAAATGGATTGTATTCAAAAAAAAAAAAAAAAAACTTATGATATCACCATTACTCCGTTATCTAAAATCTTTTGAAATTAATGTTAATTGAGGTACAAGTTCATTGGCTTTTATCATCAATTTTCTTATATTAAAATATTAACTTTAAATGTGTTATAAAATTATTTAAAAAATAACCTTTTTCAATATTTGGTATTTGTTTTAATTATGTGACAAAATATAATTAAGTAGCATTACAAAAATTTATTGAATTAATATAAACGTATTATAGTGTATAAAATGAGAGTTTAATAAGGAAAATTTTAAAGGAGAATATTCGAAATCGAGATTTTTTTCTTTAAAGAATGTAAATACAATCAATATGCATTCAATGTGAGCAAAGAATTCAAAATTAAAAGAAAAATACATAAAACTGGAAATTTGTATTCTTAATATAAATAAATTCAAATATATAATAATGTGAGAGAATGACTTAATGCCAAATATGAAAAATAAAAAGTAAATGAGAAATATGCCCATCAATATTCTTAATATAAAAATATATAAATGTAATTAATATGTACAAAAAGTGGGTGAAGTGACTCAAAATCAAAAGGATAGATTAGTTGAATATTTTAAAATCAGTCATCTAAGTATAGAAAAACATAAATGCAATCAATATTTGCTACATTTGATAAGAAGAACCCAGAACTAAATGCAAAATCAATAAAAAAGGAAAATATTCCTTTTACTAAAAAATAGATATTGGTATTTGTTACTTATATATATTTTAAATTCCTAATATCACCATCAACTTTTTTTTCTTGAGTAAATATCATTTTGGGTCCTTAACAAAAAATACGGTCCCCATTTTAGTCTTTTACAAAAATAAATTAGTTAGTTAAATATCAAGATATATGTGAAAACATGTTATGTGATAATAAGATATTTTGTGCTTGCAAGTTGTTTAACCTTTCAGGTGCAAAAAGGAAGGGGATGGTCATGGTGCTCGAAATTTGAATTTCAAATTTTAAATTAATGTGTAATTTTGCTCTATTTAAATTAGAGGTGTAATTTGAATTTCGAATTTTGTAATTTTTCATTTGTCCCTCCAAAGATGTTTTGGAGTTTCTTTAATTATTTGTAATTAGAAAATTAGGCTAGTGGCGTTTAGATGACAAGCAGCCGTGGCTTGAGAAGCAAGATGGACGAATGCGCGAGTACTATGACTATCTCAAATAAAAATGTTTTATATGCTTGTATGTTTTGTATGACTAGTATGCATGAGGTAGTCCCTAACAAATTCAAAATGAATCTATTTTAGTCCTTTTGAAGGACTATTATGGGTCTTTTATGAATTTGTGAGGGACCACGATTTCAACTAAATGGGTCCACTTTGAATTTGTTAGGGACCTCGAGACTAATTTATTTTTCTAAGGAACTAAAGTGGGAACCGTATTTTTTGTTAGGGACAAAAATGATATTTATTTTATTTTTTATTTTTTTTCACCATCAACCATGTTAGCAAAAACTTATGTGCAACTGTTATTATTAAGAAAATATGAGAGAGATAACATCACGTGTTTGTTGAGATAATGAGATAGTTTTTTTTTTTTTCCTACCGTCTCCAATCAATAATTGGTGCATTAATCAGATTTTATTCTAAATATAACAATATAATAAAAAAGACTTGTTCATCACACGACAATGAGTTGTTGTTGGCTCCATTCTGCTGTCTTTAACAAAAGGTCACTTTCAAACTCAAATCTCCAGTTGTTCAGATTCTTCCACAATTTAATTTGGAAATTCATTTTTAACAGAGAGAGAGAGAGAGAGAGAGAACCCAAGATCTCCATCTGCTTCATTCTTCTTAATTGAAAAACCCCAAACACATAACACAAGTACTACATACTACATAGTTTGAGTTGCTCATTTTTTCTTGTAATAGATTCTAATGAGATAGAGACATCATCATCCATTAGACATAAGAGTTTAACATCAGAGAAATAAGAAAAAGAAAATGCATGCAAAGACAGACTCAGAGGTAACAAGCCTTTCTGCATCATCACCGACAAGATCACCTCCTCGCCGTCCTATCTACTATGTTCAGAGTCCTTCAAGGGACTCTCACGACGGCGAGAAAACCGCCACCACATCGTTCCACTCAACCCCTGTCCTCAGCCCTGTCGCCTCACCTCCACACTCACGCCACTCCTCCTCCTCCACCCGCTTCTCCGCCCCTCAACGCAAGAAGGACAACCACAACAAGCCATGGAAGCAAATCGATGTCATCGAGGAAGAAGGCCTTCTCCACGGGGAAGATCTCCACAAAACCCTCCCTCGTCGATGTTACGTCCTCGCTTTCGTTCTTGGCTTCCTTGTTCTCTTCTCTTTCTTCTCCCTCATCCTCTGGGGTGCCAGCAGACCCATGAAACCCCAGATTTCCGTCAAGGTTTTTTTTAGTTCCAAGTTTCGATTTTGATACTTTTAATGAGTTATTTGGGATGAAATATGATCTGGGTCTCCATCAATTTTTCGTTTTTAGGATGAAATCTGATCTGGGTCTCTTATCAATTTTTCATTTTTAGGATGAAATCTGAACTGGGTATTGATCAATTTTGTTTTTTTGCATTTTGCAGAGTATAAAGTTTGATGTTGTTAGGGTCCAAGCTGGTTCAGATGCCACTGGGGTGGCCACTGATATGATAACTGTGAATTCTACTTTGAAATTCACATACCGCAACACTGGAACGTTCTTTGGGGTCCATGCTTCAGCAACACCCTTTGATTTGTCCTATTCAGAAATCGTGATTGCTTCAGGGAGTGTAAGATTCATGAACATCCTAGTTGGTTGGTTAACTACTTAATAAACCACAAAGTACAAATATATATGTTTCAGTTTTTATTCTAACGTTTGTTAGTTTGGAATTGTTTGTTGCAGATGAAGGAGTTTTATCAGTCTAGGAAGAGTCAAAGGTTGGTGAATGTGGCGGTTATGGGTAACAAGATCCCTCTATATGGAAGTGGTGCTAGCCTCAGCAGCACAACGGGTGTGCCCACAGTGCCAGTGCCTTTGAACCTCAACTTTGTGCTCCGATCCAGAGCTTATGTCCTTGGGAAATTGGTGAAACCAAAGTACTCCAAGAGGATTAAATGTTCCATCATTTTAGATCCCAAGAAGCTCAGTGCTCCAATTCCCCTCAAGAATTCTTGCACATATGATTGATACATGTGACAGAGAATAAGGGAAAGCACATGTAGAAGAATATTTTTATTTGAAATGAGGAAAGAAATGGGGATTACAGCTATGAGAAAAGGAATGTATGTATGACGCGTTTTTTGGGATTTTTTGGTTGTCAAAGTGTCCCAAAGTGCATAAGACAAGGTACATGTTAGGTTCGGTAGAGAGAAATGGGACTTGTCGGGTGATCATTTCGTGAAGAGTTTTTTCGTATTAATTATTTGTCTGGTTTTAATTTATTTAATTGGTAACGTGAGAAGTAACTGTCATTTATTGAATCTCAATGTGGTAAAACTTGTAATTGTATTTATTTTTAATGTATTTATAGTGTAATTATAGGCAAATCATTTTGCTTTCTGATTGATTAGTTTCTACCTGTTATATAAGCTCCATTTTGGAGTCATAGTCATCAACGGAGAGTGCATTTTTAGTAACAATTCAACGGATTATGAATGAATTTCTTCATGATGCAAATCCCCATTATTTTAAGACAAATGACATAGAAGTCCATGTACCTTAATGGGGCGGTTATATTTATTATTATTTTCAGCTTATTACTTAATTATTATTGTTGGATTAATTTAAAATTAACGGTAATTGATTTCTTTCATTTTTTAATTGTTGATTCTAAATTAATCCAATGGAAATTATTACTAAAATGATAGGAATTATATATTTTCCCAACACAAAAGTGTTAAAGATTTGACCTACACATGCAATTTTGATACCACCAAATAGCATTATTTCCAGTAGTTCAATTTCCAAAATGCTGAGCTTGTTCCACATTCCCAATTTAATAATGCGTGGAGTTAGGTTGGCTTGCTTTTCAAGCACCTGGGTTGTTTTATTCCACGTGCCCTCAATTAGCAATACATATAAATTATCAGGTACAGTCTTTAGCAGTTAGCTACATGCTAGAATTAATTAGAGGTGTCCATTTTTTTTATGCATTTGTTTTTCATCAATTTAAGGGTAACTGTTGAGATGATAAGGTGCAAATCCATCCAAAATGAATGATCATTGGATTGGAAATGTACCTGTAGAATCTTGCCTTGAAAAATGTAAATGTGGCGCTTTCTTTATTCAAAACTTGTAGTAGATCAGATCTTGAACAAGGAATAAAGTTACAAACAACACGACATGATAATTTCCCTTTTAACATATAAGCAAATTAGGGAATCCGAAAGCGAATATTCTCACAACGGTTGATACCTATCATGGGGCAAAACTGCAAAAGAAGAGAAAATATGTAGAATTTCTTGTAATGGAGCAGTGGAGCAATTCATAATGAAGGATTTTGTTTGCTGTTCAGAGCTATGTTGTGATAGTTTATAAAGCATTGGCAAAAAAAACTCCTATGCAGATATTTGTGGGCAATTTTACCCTCTTACCTCTTCAAGTGTGGCTATTTGACTATTTAAGGGTGTGCATGTGTATTTTTTATAAGTTTGGTACGCTCTCGAGCCGAGCCGAGCTTTGGTCTTAAAAGATTAAGTTTGTATTTAGATGTATCAGCCTAACCAAGTTTATTTACCTATTATGAATATAATTATCGGACTGTGACCTGGCTTATTTACAAAAAATAAAAGTCTGATTTAGCCTGTTAACCTATTTAAAAAAATAAGATAATAAAAATTTATTAAAACAGAATATACAAACAACAACACGAGTAATTCAATAAATATTCATAAATTCAATGTATATTCAAACAGCATAATATAGAACAAAATCATTCAAAAAACCTGTTTAACCAATAAAATGTGATAAGCCCCTTATTCGTTTACCACCCCTATACGGGATAAGATCTTTTGACACTGGTTTCAAATTTTAAAATTTGACACCAAATCCTAACCGTTGATTTTCGTCGATCAACGGTTATCATTTATTAGAAATTAATATTAATTAATAAGTTTAATTCTCAATAAATGATAATCGTTGATTGCCGAAAATCAAAGGTTAAGATTTAGTGTCAAATTTTAAAATTTGACACCGGTGTCAAAAGATCTTGCCCCTATATATATATATATATATATATATATATATATATATATATATATATATATATATATATATATGAAGGTAGAATCCTTTGACACCGGTGTCAAATTTCAATTTTGACACCTCATCTGAGAGCCGTTAGATCAAAAAAAATCAACGACTCTGATATGCAAGCATGTGACACCATTGATCTTTTTTGATCTAACGGCTCTTATACGAGGTGTCAAAATTAAAATTTAACACCGATATCAAAGAATACTACCTCTATATATATATATATATAATTAATTTTGTAATGACTTCCACGGATCATCCCTAGGGAAGTAAATATTTTTTATTTTTTTATTTTTTTATTTCCCTTTTCAAGTTTTGCATATCTCCCTGGAAAACTCACGGATCACGTCATGTGATGCGATTTCAGTCATTCAAAGCCTTTAACCCTTAAAATAATATTTTTTTCAAATTCAAATGAGTACTTTGTTGTAAAAAAAATGAATAATTTGTTACAAGAGGAAATAATGACTGTTGAGAAATAGCCGCTAACAATCATTATTGTAACTTATGGAGCACCGATATTTCAAAAACTCTGACGTGTCGTGTTCGACATTTTTCGACACTCTCCGATACTCCGATACTCCTCGACACTTCAATGCGCGTTGTAGAAACTCAAAGAAAAGTTCAAAGGTTGCGTCATGTTGCATTTTTAGTTTTAACTATTACCATTTTATTGAATTTAATATAAATATTTGTGATATCTTATGTTTCTTTGCAAAATTAATGGATCTTATAAATTTAGCTTTATTTTTTGTTAAATTATTGAATATTAAATATAATTTACGTAACATAAATTAAAAATATTATTCAATATCAAAACGTGTCCTAACGTGTCGAAATATAATATTTTTTAAAATTAACGTGTCGGAATGTCGTGTCATATCATATTCCGTGTCCCGTGCCAGTATCGATGCTACATAGACTGTAATGTGCTGCTTGATGCGATGCAAAATAGTCAAGAAACTGCATCTACCCATGTTGTTCACAATTATGACCATAATTCATGTACTTTGAGGTTAGAGAGGGTTTCAATTATTTTACAGAGAATGGAAGTTGTGTTGTTTAAGCCAATATGACCATAATGAAGGCTAACTGCATTTCATTATCCATGCTCTCGAGTCACCGTCGTATACACGGATTTCGACAAGTCGACTTCTATAAATATGTGTATCCTGTTGGAGATGAAAATTACAGGGAGTGTAAGAGCTTTGGATGGCTGAGATCGTGCCACATTGCGTGACCTGAGTTCCCATAGAATCCGTGAAAACTTAAAGCCAAAAATTAAAAAAATTTAATGAGTTCCTAAGGGAGTGTGAGGAACTGATTAAAAAAAATTTAGAAGAAAATATAAAAGTAGTTTTGCAGAGTTAATCTACGAAATTAAATATCCCCAAAAAAAAATTTAGAGGCATACTAAACTAGCAAAAATATCATTCAAACACCCCTGAATAATCAAGCTTCCCTTGATCAAAAAGTGTTCATTCCGCCTACTAAAAAAAAAGTGTTCATTCCTATATCGAGATAGCCTCGTGCCCCAATCCAAATAATTTCCCAGACTATATAATAAAGGGTTTACTTTTTCTATAGTCAATGTAGATAACTTATTTACAGTGAGCTCAAAACGACATCGTTTTGAAGCGAAAATCAAGGTATTTTTGTAATTATAATTTATTTCAGGGTTATAATAGTCTTTTTCATTATAATTTTTTAATTTTTAAATCCAAAACGACGTCGTTTTGAAAACGAATGTAGATAACTTATCTACGTTCAGTTTAGAAATATTAAAGCCTATAATAAAAGGGATAAACTTTTCTTATTTTACAGAAATTAAAAACTTATCACCTACTGAAACAAAATGGTGGGACCATCATTTTTAAAAAAATAAAATAAAAAATAAAAACAAATTTGACACAACTCGATGTATCTACATGAAAAACATCTTCTCACGTGTGGGTGGAAAAAATCATTGCCCATTGTGGACAAACATGTAGTTGAGAAATCTATGATTGCCCTGAAAGTAGCCCGTTATTTGAAAACATGCTTAGCCCATGCATTTGTCATCTTCATCCCAAAGAGAAGAATTTGTTCCACAATCTATCATTCTCAACAGAAGCTTTTATTCGGTCAATCCCTTTGAACAATATCAATCTCATTGAACCATGAAATCACTGTTGTAAAACTCGGCCCGACCTGGCTGGATCGACCTGAAATCCGGCGAACCGGTCATCAGACCGGTTCAGGTCAAACATCATACCGGTCATGCATCGACTCGATCAAATATGGTCAAAACCCGAACAAAATCAGCCAAACCCGATCAAAATCGGTGACACGGTGACCTAGTCGGGTCATCATTTAAAAAAAATCAAAACTGTTTCATCTTATCAAGAAAAAAATGTAGAACTTATTTTAAAAACTTTTTATAATTTTATTTGCTAGTATACTTTTCTACAATGACCTCAAATTTTAGTTTCTAATACTGAAGCAATTTGCGGAATAATAAATTAGAGAATGTGACATATGTTATTTTCATGTAGTTGAATTTGAAAAATACGAGTTCAATGTCATTAAGAGATATGTTTATGGGGATTCTGAGTTGCAATTTAAATTGACATAATAATAGCGTGCATTTTTATTTATTTATGCTTCATATTTTTTAGCTTATTTAGTGAACCTTGTTTAATTCATTTTAGATATGGAGAATATAATTGAATTTACATGTTTATATTTATATATATTTTTATATATCTATATATATTTGGGTCAACCGGTCCGACCAGTGATCCAATGACCCATTACCCCGACCGGGTCGATGCCCATGTCGGGTTTAACTGCATGAAATCATTATTTTTCATTCTCCAATTTGGCCAATGTTTTAATTCATTGAAGCTTAAATGCTGAATTATTTCCACTAATGTTATAAAATTCGGATCAATTGGGTAGTTAAACTAAGGGTGTAAATAGGCTAGGCTAGGATGAGCTTTGACTTAAATAGGCCAAGTCTATGTAAAAAATATTGGGTCTAGTCTGGCCTGTTAGCCTGTGTAGGCCCCAAATTACAAGTTTGGCCTGACCTATATTTAAAAAAAAAGCCTTGGCCTAGACCTGTTAGCCTGTTTAAGCCTATTAAATATTCAACAATTAAAAGAATAACTAAAATAATATTACCTTATTATTCAAATTTATTAAAATAATGATTTTATTTATTTTATTTAAAATAAATAATATGATATAGGTCGACCTATAGGTTTATAGGTCCGATATGTACAGAAAAATCTATGGCCT